AGAGAGAGAGAGAGAGAGAGAGAGAGAGAGAGAGAGAGAGAGAGAGAGAGAGAGAGAGAGAGAGAGAGAGATCTGAGGTATCCTTCTTACCTAGTAAATGTTGAGGTGGTTCCATGGAAAGGTGATAGAGTAGGCAAGGAAGGGTGAGGATCTCCCAACCTCAACGAAGACAAGGTTGGGAAAAATAGAAAGTGGATGGAGATGTTGGTGAAATATTTTTTCTACAGTCAGCATGCTCTGGCTGTTGTGAACGATTTCGAAGTTCCAGCTTTGTCTGGTTGCTGTGATAAAGCCGTCGTTTCTCCTTCTCTTGAGATTTGCTTTCGTGAACTGTTGAATTGACGAAAGCAGCGCAATGTGTGAAATTGAATGTGCTGTCTGTGATTGCAGCGCACATCTGCAAACTGCTCTCCAGTGTGACAACATTGCAACAAGAAGTCCTTCTCAAGTCAAACTTGAAGAAGACTGGGAGTCAAACTTGTGGAAGTCAAACTCAAAGTCAACCTTGACGTCAACCTTGAAGTCGATTGCCAAGGCAAACTTGAAGTCAGGCTGCTCGTCTTTGTTCGGTGGACAAGCAGCGACACTTTTCTTGCTTCGACTTGTCATTTCGGTCACGGCAGGTGCTGCGACTTCATGCCACGCCACACTGATCGACTCTGTTTTCAAGTTGAAGTTTGTTTGCCAATTTTTTGTTTTGTTCCTACGGATTTCCGCGCCGCTGCTGCTGCTCCTGCTTGCTGCTCCGTAGCCTGCCGATGCAGGCTGGCGGATCTGACATGACCGGAGCCCTGTGATTGCCTGTGCTAGTACTGGCGGTTCTGCAGATGCTGAAGAGGCCACCCACCACCCCACACATTGCTGCAGTGTAGGTTTTGCGATTGGCAGGTTTTGCGATCGGCAGGTTTTGCGATCGGCAGGTTTTGCGATCGGCAGGTTGGCCGATTGGTATCCTTTTTCTATCGTCAACTTCTATATCTGTTCTCCACAGCTCTGCACATCAATCAGTGGACAGAGTTGGAAGTACAAAGCGGGGGACCATGGTGGGCGAAGGCGGCGGCTGTGCGGGGGGGTTCACAGCTTACTTGTGATCGTAAGCGGTCTTCAGAACTTCGAGCCCATTCTCTCTCCTGTTTCCACTTTTTTTTTAATCACGGATGTGTAGAACTTGCAGTTTTGGAGACCTGATTCTGACTCATGCTGGTCAGTGTCAGTCTGGTCAGACTTTCCTTTTCTAGCGGGTTGGATTGGAGTGTTGCATGACCGGGTACAGTGACAAATTTGTTTTTGTGTTTTACGCGATTTGCACGACTGTTCTTGCTATTCATTTCCAGTGGCTGGATGACGTATTAGGGAGGATACTCAGTTACTCACACTAGGACTTTTTTCCCGGATGTATCTGACTGGAATTACCACCTGAGCTGCATGCATCTGACTGCAATCACGTCCAGAGCTCAGTTGAAAAAGTCGTAAGGTGTAAGCATGTCTCTTTACGGGTGTGGCTCCACACAGCATTCAACATGTATCTGGACTGTATCGGGACCATATACATTTGGACTGATAGAACATATTGAATGCTTTGGACTGGAATCGTGTCATATGCTCAGCATTTGACACGTATCTAGACTGTTGCGGGACCATATACAGTCGGGCTGATCGAACATATTGAATGCATTGGACGGGAATCATGTCCAGATGCATCAAGAGTGTTCTGCAGTGCAGCAAGGACCTATATCTGTGTGTGTATGCGTGATGCCAGTGCGTTTCAGGGCAATCATCCAGGATAACATCGCTCTGCTAGTATGTTTCGACGATTTAGGTACGTTTTGACTGTATCTAGTTAGCAAACACAGCTAGATGCAATCTGTCTTTGAGAAACTGCCACCAGAGTATGTTTTGGCTATTTCCTAATCTAGGACTGGTTCAACCGTCTCTAGCTAGCTTATGTTTGTTGGAATAGGCCCCCACAGCCGACTGACCGTCTTTCCATTTGTGGAAAGTTTGTGGCGCATAAGTAGAACAGGAAATTGACTTCGAGCTGCATGTCTGAGGCCATACTCACACTAGCACTTTTGTAAATGTATCCGGCCGCAACCACGGCAGTACCTGGATGCATCTGACCGTAATCACGTCCAGAGCTTACAAGAAAAAACGTCCTAGTGTGAATACGCCCTGAGTCCTTGAGCTTGAGCTTGAGGTTTTGAGATTGAGTAGACAAAGACGATAGTAAAGCCAACCGTGTTGAAATTGAGCAAGCGCGTTAGCCCGTTTAATATCTGTAGTATCTGTCCACACTGCGAAGTCTATTCATATCTCTCAGGATCACTAATCCAGATATTCCTCTAATAATGCTATATAAGTGCTTTCAACTGCTTTGATTAAAATTTTGAAATTTGGCAGTAGATAAAGAAAAACAAAAACAGGCAAGAGGAGTTCATAAAGGAGACCTGGCTTTCTGCAATCTAGCACGGTCAGTAGAGCATCCCTGCGCCTCGTGCCTCACTAAGCACGTTCAATTCCAACGTCTGAGTCTATTCTGACACGTTTTGCTCTTATTTCCACCTCCCTCCCCCCCCCCCCCCCCCCCCCCCCCTCTCCCGGCTGCTGGTCTTTTATTTCTGTCCCTTGGAAACTTTTGGTTCATGTGTAGAGAGAAGATTTGTTAGTGTTGTAAGTTGTAACGGTATTAATAAATATATATTATTCAATATTTAATCATTCCATTGTTTAATCAACTTCTATGAGTATGCCAGGTGCCAGCTCAGCCTGCAGATCCGATTGCGCCATTCCTATATCTGCTTAGGTGTCGTCTTGTCTGACGTTATCGGGTAACAAAACCCCATCGGATTCCAGCGTTATCTTATCTTTAACTTTATCTTAGCTTTATCTTATCTTATCTTAGCTTTATCTTAGCTTTATCTTAGCGTTATCTTATCTTATCTTATCTTATCTTATCTTATCTTATCTTATATTATATTATCTTATCTAATATTTTCTCTTTATCTTATGTTTACCTTATCTTTACCATATGTTTATCTTATCTTCATGCTCCACTGACGTTCGTATCACTCACTGATTGTTATCTGTCGTAGATTTTTCTGATTTTATATGGATTCTAATTTCTAAATAGTAATTTGAAGCTGAATTCCAAGTCAATCATGTGGATATAGAGTTTCCACTAAGCTGAGTGAACCGTAGTCGGATGTACGCTCACCTTGTGTCATCTTAAATCTGATACCGATCGTTTTTTTATAATATAATACCCATCAAATTGCTCCAGAAAAAGGGGCAATAAGTGTATTATATGTTTAATACGATACGATCGTTAGCGCATTAAACTTTTGTTTATGTCCCTTGTTATCATCAGACTCTGGTCTTTGTCTAAACGATGTGATTGATCGGAACCGGAATTTAGCTCATCTTGTCCAAATTTTAGCTCACCTACAATCAAAATTGACCTCATCAAATCGACCAAAAAGGACTGCCGTGCTCTTTTTCGTGACCAGTGACCACCAGTTTTCTTAAGACTTATTTTGATTTCTTTCTCCTTTTCTGACCGCTTTTATGGTTACATTCAGACTATAGAGTTCCCGCTGTAAGTTGTGCTCCTACTGTCCCGTTCTGCTTCATCACAGATGCCCAGGACCTAGTCGTCACTCTGTCAGTCGAGGGCAAGACTGCATGTACGATTGATTGCCCTGTCTTCCCATTTGGCTTTGTTTCT